GAAGGATGCAACGGCTTTGCAGAGAGATAATCCCTCAGCATCTTTAGATAGAAAAGATGTAGGACTGAGTGCTTCATTTGGTACTTATTTTCCTTTCATGGACACTGTTAGTGTCATCTTCATTCAATGACTATTTTAAAATGTTTTATGTGGAACATTCTGTTATCCAAACAATTTAGTTAAATTGAGCTGCTTTCCAGGAAGACAAAATCTTGATGATACGAATCTCCAGTCCAAGTATCTTCTAAATAGGATTCTTTGGGAAAACCTCATGCATTCACATGGATGTCTCTTTACTTAAGAAACTCGAAGCAGAATTTTGCTGGTTTTTAAATTTTAAGTGAGTACGTTATTAATTAAGGAGATACATTCAGAATAAGTCTGTAGTTTGACTTGTTAAGAATATAGATTTTTTTTCTGTATTTTAATATGTTATTTCCTGCATGTTATTTAGGAGGTGGGGCCAGCCAGTTTCTTGAGTGATTGGGTTTTTAATTCTATTTGTTTCTAAAAGCAATAGTGCTGCTGAAGTCTTACAAGAATGTTTACTCCATTGACTATGTGAACTTCAGTTTGTTCGCTTACATTGCTCTGTGTTATACTGTCTAAAGTTCGTACTTTGAAAGCACTGAAAGGTAGATGGTTTACTTGGTGCATTTGTACTTTGGAAAGTGGTTTTTTTGTTGTTATGAAGATATTTGATTGTGAAAAGGAACTCTTAAAATCCTTGATTTGTTTTCCATGTTTTACTTGTACCTGTCAAGGTACCTAATTCTGTCTGTCTTAAGAGCTGGTGTGATTAAAATTAACTGTTAAACTTGTATGCAAAGAACCTACAGTAAAACTACTGCATTTGGGAGAGGATTTCTAGATTCAGTCCTTTCCAACATTGACCTTTTTCAGTCTTGTTTGCACTCCTGCTCTGTGTATAATCTACTTTTGTTCAACAAGTCTCCCTTTTTTCATAGCATATAATTTTTCTATTTGAGGTCAATCCTGAGGAGAAGCTATAATTTCTTTACACTAGCTATTTCCTTGCTCACAATGTCAGGGTTATAATTTCATTACAAGGTAAAACTGGCTGGGAGACAAAAAGTTTAGTCAAATATAGAAGAAATGCTTGTATGTGGTTATGCTTCATTTGTCTAAACTGAACAAAATGACCTAAAATTACTCTTTGAAGAGAGTACAGTGAAACTCATTGAACTTGACATTCGCCATACCCCACACCTGAAGTAACTGCCGTGTCTTCCCATACTGGTGTAGGATATATGCAATCATTGTGGAGTGGCAAATGTTGAGGTTATAATGACACCTACTATATATCAATTTTACCTTCATGACTGGTGAGAAAATGAGCAAAAGAAACCTGCCACTTTATAACGTTATATATGTGTGTTTCAGATCTAAGCTGTACATGGCTGACCTTGAATCGGGATTGCATTACCTGCTCAGGGTAGAGCTTGCTACGCACAAGACGCTTGAGGGAGCTGAGCTAAAGACCTTCAAGGATTTTGTTACTGTCTCTGCCAAGGTATACACTTCTAGTCTTTGATTATTTGTAAGAATAAAGTGAGTCTAACATAAAATTTATTATGTGACATAAGTCTCTCAAAATGTCTTTCAGAATGTTTAAATATATGTTTCCTTACTAGCTTAAAAAATAGTTTCGTGCGTTTCTTTAAATGTTATTTTTGAGTTATTGTATGCCATTCTGACATACTTACAGAGTTGAAATGCATTTTAATTTAATCTTAGTGGGCTTAAAATTAAATAAAGCTTAAGTAGTCTGCAGCATATTGAACAAACACTGTAAATATAGTCCATTTATCAGATTTTCAGGATAAGTAGCTATTGTAACTGAGTGGGATTAAAAAAACCCTTTGTTTTTCATTCTTGATTTTTGGATTTCATTAGGGCATACTTGACAAATGGTGTTCTATTTAGAGATATTAGTAACTTCTGTCTAAATTTTGAATATAATTGAGGTATTGAAGTTAATTGAGTATTTAAAAATAATGGAGGTATTAAATATAATTGAGTATTTTAAAAAAGATGCTTATATTACATTTGAGTGAAGAGACAATACATGTAGTATAATGTGATGTGACTTGAAAAACAATTGAAATAAACTGACTTTATAATGTCAGCCTACTGAAATGACCAATGTCACTTTATATTTACTTACTGAGCAGCTAACACTTTTATTTTAAATAAAGTGAATCAATATCTGTTTAAGGGAATAATAAGGCCTATATGAACTATTTCCAAATATCTGGATTTATCTGAAAATCAGACAGACAGCTTCTTGCCCCCCCGCGGCCATCAGAGGTCAGAAATCTCTAGCTGGCCTCATTTCTTTAAGAAAGTGTAGTGGTAATCTTTCCATCATATTATCCCTAAAACATCCTCTGGTGTTCCTGATGGCTCCTGGCCAGCTGATGTCATTTGCTTATTAGTGCATAAATGGGGAATGCTCTGTCTTGGTTGCATGCTCATCTCCTGACTGCCATTGCACGAGTGGGGACCGCTGTCCTTTATTTGCATCCTCTGGTCGTGGACCGCTTTCCTCGTAGTTCTCATTCATGATTCTCGGGTGGTTTTGTTAGGAAACTTTTTATAATATCCTCCTATGTAACAGCATTTATAGTGATGATAAATCCTAAGTCACAAGGTCTCTGGTTCCCTACCTGGGGAGTTTTCATTGTTGTAGAATTAGGGGGTTTTGGCAATCAGTGCAGAAGTCTGTTGGGTTTTGAATCCTTAATGGGACTGAGACCTACCTGAGATACTATTGTCTTTTAGACGGTAATGCATGGTATTCTGGGACTCCCACAGGAGTAAATTTAATTATAATATACAGTAGTGGTCCAGATGTGTGCTGTTATATACAGACTATTTAAGAGTTGTCTCTGAACCCAAACAATGCACACGGCCCCTGGTGTTAGATACCATACAGACAATTAGCAGAAGGGAGTTCCTGTCCATTAGATTTGCATGGTATCAAGTCAGAGGTCTGTGAATTAGAGATACTATCAATACTTGGACAACAGCTGCAGGATGACTAGCATATGTATAGCATGTTCTGTCATAATTTGCTTTATGTATTTAATGTAGTGGATACAGGGACTTTATTTCCCCATCTGTTGAAATACTGCTCTCTCTGGAAGGGTACTTAGAGAATGGTATGCATACGCTACTTAATTCTATAGTAATTACAACCATCACTAAAGCAAGATACCATTTCTAGTGTAAAATAATGGCATTACCACTGATTTACAGTTCCTCACACTCATCTGCCAGATTCTGACTTCTTTAAGTTGAAATTAAGGAAGTCCTTATTTCCAAATCAATTTGGAAACTGCTATTACACGTATGAAAAGGAAAATGCCCTTCTAGATAACCAACATCGCCTACATTTACAGAAATCTGAACAAATATTTTATAAGAACTAATTTCTGTGATTTATCTTCTAAAAGTGAGAAGGATTTCAGCCTCTCTGATTCGCTTAGGTCTTTTGTTCCTTACTGAGCTGAATCACCTTAATGAGAAATTCTATGTAATCTTTCAGAAGTTATTCTGTAGCAGTTCTGCCTGCTACAGAGGCTGAGTAGCTTTGTTTGACTGGTTAGCATTTTGCACATACAACTTGTTAAATTTTGTAAGCAAAAGTTAGTGTGAGATGGCTTTTTACTGGAAGTAGAACAAGTAATTAATTTGCTCATAACCAAATAAAATCTGAAGCATTTTAAAGACAGGAAAAACACATTTAGATAAAGATAAAAGTGTCTTTCTGCTAATGAGATTTGTGCTTTAAAATATGAGTATTTTCTTCTTTTTTTTTTTCCCTCAGCTTTTTCCTGGCCGTCAGCCTGTGGTAAAGTTGTTAGAGACCTTGCAAGAGTGGCTGGTGAGCCTTCCATTAGACAAAATCCCTTATGATGCTATCCTAGATCTGGTCAACAACAAAATGCGGGTAAGCTGTTACTAGTTTCCAGCATAAAATACAGCTTTAGAAAAGGATAAGATTCTATATAAATCTAAGACATCACTCACTGATGGTCCCTCAGTCATAATGGAGTTATAAGAAGGTTAAAATGAAAATAAAGTGAAATCATTACCAGAAAAAAATTCCACACAAAGGAATTGAAATGAGAGAATTGAAATACACAATCCTGTAGTTTTATAATGACCAAGCAATTGCTAACGTGTATGTTCCCTAATGTTAGCTTCAAGTGACGCAACATTCTGGGCAGAAATTCTTGAGTTGCTTTTGCTTGCTGTGCCTGCTATCAGTAGGATTGTCTTGAAGGTCAGAGTTTAAGCAATGGGAAATTTACCCATTGAAATGGGCATTATTGCTGAAGAGTTTCCCAAAATACTCTTTAATTTCCTGACACAGTAAATGCCTTGCTAGGAATCCCATCTCACTTTGGTAATGCCCTGCGATAGGGCCGTCTTTGTACAGAAGTGAAAATGAGTCTTTCTTCCTGTGAAATGGGATTCTATCTGAAATTTCAAAACCTCCTGTGTGTCTTAGGAAACAGAGAGATAGGTCTCAGAAACTAAAATCTTGCACTGGATTTTAGTTTTAATTAATAAGTAGTGGTTTTGTTTTAAGAAGAAATAATAATGAATTCTACAGCTGAGCCTGTTAAGACTTTATCACTGTAATTCATGTATTTGTTGTGTGTGTTGTGTTCATACTGTGCTTAAAAAACTCTTTACAAGTTAAGCTACTTAATGTGTTCTGTCAGACTAATTAGACATTTGTGATGTGCATTTTAGTGGGTTTAACATCAGAGACTGTACATTGTACATCATGTAATGTGTTTGTAAGAGGCATGAGTTTTATAATGGTGCCTCAGAGTATCTCAGATTTAAGGATTGTTAAAAGTTTAAAATTTGTTTGCCCTAAGCATGAATTCATTAGCAACAAGTGCAGAGTCATTTACTGTTCTTCATCCTTGGATCACCTCAACTTCAAGGTAGGATCAACTGACTGCTGTTATGTTCAGTAGTGAATTTAGGTCCCAGAGCTGTTTATATCTTAAATACATGGTTTTTTTCAGATTTCTGGGATATTTCTCACTAAGAAAGTTCAGTGGGTCGGATGTCAGGGCAGCAGACCAGAGCTGAGAGGTTATACCTGTTCCCTTTGGAAGCTGTTCCATACTCTAACTGTTCAAGCTGCACTGCGACCAAAAGCTTTGCTAAATACAGGTAAGCAGCAGTTATGTGAGATGCTTGAGGAGCAAGACGAATACGTGCAGCAGTTCTGCTATGCAATAGAAAAAGTGATTAGAGCACATTTTTTTTTCTGCATAAATACTCAACTAACACATTGGTGGAGGACAGGGGCTTTTGAGGCTTAGCTTTCAGGTTTTTACCAGCAGAGGTCAGAGCGTAGCTTTGCTGCAGCAGGAGGACTTTGAAGGAAAGCGGGTCAGTTTGTCCTTGCTTAGAAATGTGGTAAATAAAGTATGTGGCCTTAAAGATGTGGTTGTAAATATCTGTAGAGATGTGATTGCCTTCAGCAATAAAGCTGAAAAAGGAGACAATTTCAAACAAAGAAATTTTGAACTACCTGAAGAGGGATGAAGATTGTTCAGGTTACCTGAGGTTGAACTGTTAATTTAATTTGAGAAGAATGAGATTTAACTGTACAGTTTAGTAGCTATAAAAGATGTACAACCATTAGACAGTCCTTGTGTAATGTTACTTCTTAAATACTGTATGTTATGACTGTTCGGGTTTTTTTCAGCTGAATGTGCCTAGTGACCATTAATCTGTGCAGTGATATACTACTTTGCAAGCGCTCTGTAAAATTGCTTATTTTTAGACTTGCAGCATCTTGTGAGGCAGGTTGTTAATATTCTGTTGATGATTGCTATTTAAGAAATGTGGTGGATATATAATCTATTTTCCTTGTACAATGGAAATAGAGTTACTAATGCTAAAATACTAGCCTTTGTATGTTTTTATTCTTGCCAGGACAGTGCTTTGTTTGGTTATAGTTCTATTTAGTTTTCATATAAAGCCTTTTTAATGTCTTTTCCAAGGAATATAAGGATGCTAGATGGACTGTTACTAGATCATAAAGCTCAGAAATTTTTAATTTTTCAGTTGGTGATTATATGTTACAAAGAAATTAATTTGATTATTTCAAATTATGGACACATAACATTTGTCCAGCATTACTTGCAGTCACAGGGAAAATATCTCAGTTCTTAGTATTGAATATCTGGCAGAATAGGGTTGTTGTTTGGGGGTTTTTTTGATAGCTAATCATCCTATTGTTGATTTTTGTTTTGTCTTGTTTTGTTATTAATGGGACAGTAGGTTGAATCCCTTTAATTTAGTACTGTACTCTGCCTGGTGAATTTTGGTATTTATTTGGTGTTCTGCAGGATCATGCAAAAGTTAAATTTCCCTGTTTGTTCCAATTGCCAAAAGTGTTCTAATTAAATGTAAAAATGTTCTTAACTACACAAAATTGCATCTTAAATTGCTTGCATGTTTCAAGTGTGAGCTCTAGTTGTTCTGAAGTTAAAAATACATTGTAGAACCTGAGAACTCTTTGGCACGCTTAACCATCGATTTAAATCGGGACAGATATGTGATGATCACTTCTTATGGCGAAAGAATTGGGTCAGTCTGAGACTGTCGGATTATGTCTTGGGAGGTTTTCCTCTCCTTATTGCTTGTTTAAATCCCATCTACTAAAAAGCATGATGTACTCCCTAATCCTTCCCACCACAGGTAGGGTTTTATGGTTCTTGTCCACTTTAAAGATTAGGGTTACCCTGAATTGCAGTAGTTTGGGAGGAAAGAGAAAAGGAGGATTACACGATGATACGTGGCAGATGTTAATAGAAGATTCATCTCTGGGCTGATAAAAGAAAAACAAACAAAATGAGCCATTTTGCAATTGTTTGTTTTCTTTTTAAAGCAGCTGTATTTTTCTTGATAGTTTCCTCTACTTGCAGAGCTTTACAGTCAGTGTGAGCTTGCTTTCTTGATATAATGTTTTTATTGGTTTATATTTGACGTGTTCTGCTGTTGAATGGTGTAATTTGAATCTGCAGTGGGATCAGCGTAAGGGAATCCAAAGGAACGCTGAACAGAACTGCTCACATCAGAGGGTGTATAAAATCTTTGTAGAAATCTAGTCCTGAGCATGCTTAATTCTATGAAATGTGGTTTTAGGTAATAGGATCTATTGGTGTGAATAAGACAGGCTTGTGGGTTTTTAAAAAAATTATCTGAATTATTTTTAATCTGTTGCTGAATTTGAAAGACCACCCCACAAAATGAATTTTCAAAAGCATAGCATTACACAGGAGAACAGATATAATTAAATGTGTGTGTGACTCTCTTTTCTTCCATAGAGGTTGTTCGCTAGTAGTTACTTTTGTTGTGTTTATTGTGGGTTTTTTCTAAATACATATTTTAGTATACATGGTAAAACTGTTTTGCCTCATTCATTTCAACTTTCCAAAATTATTTTTCAGTCTTTCTTTTAATACTGTAATTTAATCTGCTTTAATCTCATAGCTTTTATTTATAGATGCCTATTCAATCACAGATATTGAATGTCTGAGTAGAGATTGTTTGCTTTTTATGATTTCTTTTTGGCTTTAAAGACTTTTTTTTTTTCTGCCAGGTTTAAGAATATAATGTTGTTCTAAATAAAGGTGTTCATGGCAATCTTCATGCATTTCTTATATACATAACAGATAAGTACTGTCATAGCTTTGAATAGATTTTGTTGAGGATTTTTTTTTTCTCCAAGAAACAATGCATGTACAGAGGGCATATGTGCTACCAAACTGTTTGTTATTCACTACCAGAATAGGACAGTGAGCAAAGCACCATAATCCTTTATTACAGAACCTACAAAACCTGCATTGTAAATTACTCGTGGTAGAAGTGTTCAACTGCAGGAGTCGGTAATTTGATCAATCTGCGTCATAAAATGTGTTTCGTTTGACAAGTGCATGTTCGTGATAATGTATAGTACATTTGGAAATACATTTTGGCATAATTTACTGGGTCAATTAAGCATGAATCAGAAAATCTGTGAGACGGAGATGAAACCATTAGGATTTCAACGAATTATATCAGGTTTTGAAGCCACTTATAGATGTAGGGACTACCTGCTGTCACAATAAAGGCCCAGGACAAAGTTCTCAATCTGTAAAGACCTTCTCTTACATCTGAATAAAATAATTATTCTTTTGCATTATCTTTAATGTAAAAAATGTGAATGTTATAGAAAGAATGTGTTTATTTTTGGAGGAATTCTGGAGTTATTCTTGAAAGTTCAAATGTTGCTAAGTAGCTATTGTGTGTATGCATTCAGTGCCTGCCAAAAAAGCCATGGAATTAAAAACTGTAATGAGATTCTGGTATTCAGTAATACCTCAGAGTGATGGAGTAACAAACAGATATCAGAGGCACCTTGTGAAATACTTACCAGAGGGGTTTTGACTCTTGTTTTTTCATCAGCAAGGTCACCATAACTTTAGTACCTGAGCATAAATGTAATGGTGAATGCATAATGTAAATATTAATTTAGTTATTGGGCAAGATATTGGAGAAAGTCTCTACTTCCAGAAGAATTGTGTTAAGTATAGACAGCGTGGACTTTGCATGTTTTAACAATTTCAAAATGTATTCAAAGGGGCCTCTGAAAACAAATAGTAATGCCTGATTTTCATTTAGCTGTTTGTTCCCCCCCCCCTCCCCCAAATTGTAAGATATTCTTTGAAAGGAGATACTTCACGGTAAAGAAACTTGACTTTTAAATCTTATTTTCATGTGTTGTTCAAGGTAACTTTGAACACAATTGTATAGACTAAATGTATTAGTATGTATTGGTCTAAATAGCTACTTTATGTTTTTAGCAACACTATTGCTCACCTGGCACTTTTTGAACCTTAGTGTGTTTGAAATAATTCCTTTGTAGTTGTCTGATATCCCAGATAAAACATACTGTTTTGAAATGTACTGTTTGAGATGACTTTCAACTCTATTTATTGCTAAATAATTTGATTTCTAAATGTCTCACCTCAACTACTTAGTGACAATATTATATATGTATTTTGTTGGGGAGGAGTATTTATTCTAAGAACTGTGCGGAGCTTTTAATCCCTCTAATATCTTTGTGACTCACTGATGTATAGGTTCTGTATGACGGCACATATGCTATGTCTATCTTTAAATTATAAGTGGCTAGTTTCTTATCTCTGAAGTGGAGGTGTAAATTTGCATGGAGCAAGAAGGTAGCAACATTTCCTTTCCTTTTCCCACAGTTCACTTTTTTATGTTCGTTAAAGTACCTATGTTGAAGCTATGTTTGTTCAGGTGATGCTAAATGCATCTTTCATCTGTCTTCCTAGGTCTTGAAGACAATCCCCAAGTAGTACTTCAGATCACGCGGAGATACATTCACCACTTTTTTGGATGCAAGGCTTGTGCTCAGCATTTTGAAGAAATGGCTAAAGAGTCCATGGATTCCGTTAAAACCTTAGACAAAGCTGTTCTCTGGCTCTGGGAGAAACACAACGTGGTGAATAACAGGCTGGCAGGTATGGAAGACCTTGCTTTGGAAAACCCACCACAGGTAGCTGTGTCTGAAAGACAAGGCTCTGGCCTTTTATACAATGGGGTTTGTATTTGAACAGAGAGATATGCAAATTAGCCTGTGTAACACGAGTTTAGAAACAACAGAAACAGTTGTTCCAGCTTGACATTCCTTTATTAAATACTGACTTCAGAAGACTAACTCTGCATTTGCATTGGTGTACAAGAAAGGTTACTTGTGCATAGAGCAAAACCTCGAGCATCCCAATCAACTATAAAGACCAACACACTAACATTTGCATGAATAAGACATAAGCTATCCTCCAGTAACATAGTTATCTCTTATGATATATAATGAAAAAACATCATCATTCTCAAAGATACTGTTTCTTCTGAGATCTCACCTGTTGCTTGATGAGGGGATCTTTCCGAAGTAAAAATTGAAGCCTTTTCAAAAAGGAGCAATACAGTTCAGCTGCTTACCAGTGGATAAAAAATAATTAAAGTTCTTTCTGTAACAGTTTAAATAGATGTTTAAAACCTGTCTTCATTTTGTTCCGGAGAGATGCTGTATAGAAAATGATGATAATTGAACAGGAGACTTTCTCAGGATAAAAGAGCCTAAAGTATTAGCAGATCAGCAACTGAATAAAATAAAATTACTGTATGAAGAAAATCTGTTCCCCTGCTAGATTGCTATGTTTTCAGTTAGACTAAAAGTACCACTAAAATACTGGTTGTATTTAATCCGTTCTGTTATGGGGATATCAAGTAACTAAAGCACTAAAGAAAATTGGTTTCTCTTTGCACTTAATCCCTGTCTGCTGTTATGGATCTGTGTAATGTAGCATTAGTTACAATTTAAATATGCTATATTGTGTTTATATTATGGTTATGCTGAATTCCCTAGATTTATGAAGTATTAAATACTGTTGTGAGCATAAACAGTTTGTCTCCTTTCTCCAAGGAGAAAAAAGTAAATGACGAGGTATTAAATAAAAACATCCCCTAATGTTTGTTACTATTGCCAGGTTGAACACAGGAAAAAAGTCGTCTTGTTAACTTGAAGTTGCTAAGTAATGGAGCAATATACTTATTTAGAACATTAAGTTATTGGAAAACTCGCATGGATATTGATTTAGATGATGCAACAGCAGGCTAAAATACCCTTTTAGTAAGAAGTATAAACATAACTGGAATAAATAATAATGTTAAATTATGCTTTTTAAGTTTACTAGAATTTCTCTTTGGGACAATGACTTATTTTAATTCCTAAAAGCTGCCCTGGTATTTCTGGTAAAATATATAGAGCTTTCAGTGAGAAAGGATGTGTGACTGGTCAGTGGAAACACAGCCTTCAGGTGTGGGTCATGAGATTGCTGTATGTGGCTCTAGAATGTACAGAACTTAGAGCATTCTTCTTTTGGGCAGGAAAACATGAAGAACAGCAAGATATCTGTTTGTAATCTTAGTGTAAGATGTTTTGTTTCTGCTTTCGCTACTGAAACAAATTGGTTACTGAGTGATCTTTACTTAAGATACCTGAAAGGCACACTTACTCTCTTGTAAATATCAGAGACACAAGTATTTTTAAGCATCCTTTGAATCCCTGAACAATGCTTTGTTCAAAATCATGGGGAAGTTGCCTGCCTTTAGAAAGGAAAAAATAATAAAATAAGAATCTGTATTTATTTCTGAAATATTTTAAGCATTTGTGTACTAATAACAATCAGCGAAATAAATTAGGTTTTTTACTAGGTAGTAATTTTTGTTCTAAAAATTATCTCTATCCACATTCTAAGATGTTATTTTTTTAGAGCAAAGTGCAACACTAGCTACAGTGTTCAACCACAGCCAGGAGCAACTGAAATGTTAAAACTGGATCTAGTTCAAAACAGCATTGTATGTTTAAATGTTGAAAAGCAAGCTGAAAAATACATCTTAAATATGATAATGGGTTTTAAAGTACTGAAAATAGTTTGCTATAGTAATAATGCAAGCTATGAAAAAGCAAGCTTAGGATGGCATGGTTCGCAGTATAGAAACATGAAAATATCTGCAACTCTTTGGCCTTGAAATGGCTTGCTGCAAACCAAGCTTCAGGATTAGAGTATTGAGTGCCCGAGAGCAGTTTGTTTTGAACTGTAATTCAGGTTAACTCCTGAAAGGCCCAGGTGGTGGTGTTTTCCTGCCTTCTAAAACTATAGCAATTGTAGTATCTTCTTGTATTAGAATTTGAATGCTACAGCTATTACTGAGAGAAAAGGAACGTAATTATGCTTTCATGTTTGTATTTTGAAAGGGGAAGCAATACTTTGGAACAGAAGTGTCCTTATGCATGCATCACTTATGAATTCCCAAATTTGTTCATGATTGTCTTCAGTTTAATACCAACATTATTGTGTTGTGGGGTTTTTTTTGCCAGCCTCACTTTTTGTAAGTAGAAAATGCTCTCTCTGGTTTCCAGTGAAGTTTCTGATGGTTCAGCTTTCCTAGTTCATTCACTTTTGATATTTTTGTTTTTCTCCTCCCAATTAGGTGATTTGACTGAAGATCCAAAATTTCCCAAAGTTCAGTGGCCAACTCCAGACATTTGTCCTGCTTGTCATGAAGAAATTAAAGGATTACACAGCTGGAATGAAGCCCAAGTTCTACAGTTCATGAAGTATCACTATAACAGTGAAAATATTGTATATAAATATGCTGAAAGCCAGACTGACTCCAGTGAAACTGAACAGGGAGATACAAGGGAGCTGAAAGACAAAAGCCTACTGAAGAAACCAAGTGGAAACAGAGAAAATAAGATCCAGGATAAAGAAAACGTACTAGATTCGGAATCTAAGGTGTTAGATAAGCTAATAGCAAATCATGGACCTGTCAAAGATAGCGGTAAAAGCGCAGTTGAGTCGGCTAACCTTAAAGAGACGAAGCAGGCTGTGTCTTTCTTAGGGATTGGATTTTCAAACTTAGACATGAGTCTATGTGTCATACTGTATGTAGCATCATCCTTATTTTTAATGATAATGTACTTTTTTTTCCGAATGAGATCTAAACGGTGGAAAGTGAAGTATTATCGTTCATCTGTATAGAACTTTAAATCAGAAACAAAGTTTTCATTGTGTGTGGCTGTTCAGGACCAGATACAGCTTTAATATTTATGATCAGGGATTTTATATACAGTATTCCTTCTTCAAAACCCCTTTCTGCCCAACTCATTTCACAAGTGTTCTAGCTTAATACAGAGTTTGCCCGTAAGAACCCTAATCCTTAACTGAGGCACACAGTGCTATCATAAAATGTCCACTGAAGTAAGCATTGCATTTTTCAGTTAAGATTTTTCCGTGACTTAACCACCTACGTCCTTTACTCATTTTCAGAGTAAACATTACATTATGCAATCAGCTGTGCCTGGTTTTAGAAGGAAATTGGATATTGTCTTGTGTTAAGTCAGTTGTTGCGGGGTTTTTATTTATCCAGAGCTGATTTTACCTACCAGAGTACTGAACAGTTATGCTGTTACCTTGGATGCTTCATTTGGAGAAGCAAGAATTCTGATTTTTTTTTTTCTTCAGGAAACAAGAGTTCTATTCTGATTAAATCAATTCTAAACCCATGTGACTTTCTCAAATAATATTTCCACTGCATATTTAAAACAGAAAGCATTGTGTGTTCAAATAAGTCTTCCATTCTCCCATCCATTCCAGCCAAGGATGTGTATGCCTCTGCTAGGATGAGAGTTTTGGGGCAGTTTGTATCTCAATAAGCAGCCTAATTCTGGTTGCTAGCGCTGTCATCTATTTTAATGGAGTTTAGATGTAAGCAAAGGCAGACTCAGACCCAGTGCTTTACTTGCTTCTCTGTTGGATGTGTTGATGGAGCATTAGATAACTCGCCTCATTCATTTATGAACCAGAAAAGTAGCTGAGTAATTATTGTGTTATCCAGATGGAAGCCAATTCTGATGAACTCCAGTAAAGGGAAACACTGGTTTTAGTGAAGGATGGTGAGATTTACATGCCAGAACAAATTTACAGATCTCTCTTACAATATAGTAATTTTTCTTCCTGTGAGGTGGCATAAACGCTTCACTTGGTACTTCCAGTTCTAAGCTCACAGAGAGTATCACCTGCTAGCTCTGAAGTTGTCTGTACTTAGAAGAACAGCCCATCTCTCTTGCCCTTCTGCTGGAATGCTCCTCTGTTTGGCTCAGGGAGGGTTTAACTAATGGTTAAGTCCGAGAGCTGCTGTGTTCTGGGATGTGGCAGCAATTGGGAATACAGCAGTTGCCTTTGTGGGTCTGCCTGGGGTTCTGGCTGGCAGCAGTTAGAAGAAACTATGAAAACAGTTATAAAATTACTGTTCAGAATGGGAGTTCCTTTCTGATCCTAGCTGTGGGGGATAATTCACGTCCTGGATAGTGAAGTTTATAATCCTATCCAATGTAATTGAGCATGTTCTAGTTATCCATTACCTAATCTTTAGTTAATCCTAATAGGTTTTGGCCTCAATGTTTTCTTGTGGCAGTGAGTTCTACAGATTAATTATGTTATATAAAAAGGCTTTTCCTTTCAATTCTACATTTGCAACTTTTAATTTGATTGAATGTTCGCTAGCTCTTCTGTTACGCGAAAAGGAATAAATAGTCCCTGGCCAATTCATTGTATTTATACTGTTAGTGTCTCCTCCTCTTATTTCCATCATAAGCCCTAGAACAAAAAGTTTAAAGCCTAGCAACGAGAATGGTCTAAAAGCACAAAAACTCAACAGGGATATTTTTTCATAATCAAATCTTGTTTGCTCACAAAACTGAACATTTCTGACACTAGTTTCTGCAGCTTCCAATTAGAATAAGAAAATTGAGCTTCAAAGATGTACTGTCCCTTCTTCCTTAAGTTTATCAAAATAGTATACACAAAGTAATAACCTTCAGTGGTTATTGTAAACGTGTCAGAGAGAAAGTCTCCATTAACATGGCACTGTGAGTCTGACGTACATAGAGGCGCATTATCTGTGCTTTCCTAAGCCAGTTTCTTCACTCTTCATTGTATGCACTCGATGGCTCTTGCTCCAATGGGAGAAACTTGACTCCGTGCTCTCCGTGAAGCTGGAGGCCAGGTCCTGCTGTCTGCCAGGCATGGCTTCCGTGGGGCCGAGAGCTGCTGGGAGCACCTGCAGACAACTGCTGCTGCCTGTGGTCTAGCATGGAATCTTCTCTCTCTAATTCTGCGACGTGACGGCAGTCTGGGCTTTTTAAGGACCCTCACTATTCAGGAGCTCGGGCACAAGGAGCCATCATGGGGGTCTCTCTTCTTTAGGAATTTAGGAGTCCCTACATTTATCTTCATAGCACCTGGGCTTGAAAAACAACTTGTAAGTAACTAGAATGCTAGTGACCCCGTGGTGGAAGGTGGTCCAGGCTGGCTCCTCGGTTGCTTTGTGCTGGAATCCAGCGAGGGGTCCCAGGCGGAGGTTAGTTCAGAGGAGAAGCCAGACTTTTCAAATTTAGTTTTGAAAATCAGACAACTTCTAAGTGACCTGTTCTGGGGAGATGTTGATATCGGCCAAGAAGCGAGAACATTTAGCTTCTCAAAGAAAACCACCCAAACGCCAAAAAACCAAAACCACAGCATAGCAAGTATTGGATCTGAAGAATTTGGCCAGTTTCTGTGGCCAAATTTCCCTCTGTCAGTATTGTCCCATGTTTTGAAGTTGAAAATCAGTCATTACTGTTGTTGTTTTGAACTCTACCAGGTATATAGACCTGAGGTTGTTAGCTTTGACTCATTCTGCTTGTTTTCATCTGTTTATGAAAAGGCATTGAAGGTTGGTTTGTAGGGATGATTTTACCATTAAAACAGCAGCAAATGGGGTTTTGGAATAAGGTTTTTCATAGCTTCCATGTTGCTGTGACCTTGCTGGAAACATGACAAAATGAACCAATACTCAAACTTCCAGTGGGTTTGGTTTGGTTGTTTAAGAGTGTAAAAGCATGGAATTGGGATGTTGATTACCCGTGTCGGTGCTCTAAGGCTGTTGCCAGCTAACTGGCTGTGGCTTCCGCTGTAATTGCTAGTAGTGACCTCATCTGGAAATCATCAGTTACATCAGTTGTGTGACTCTTGGTTTACTTGTTCCTATTTTCTATCTTTATAATGACAAATTATATCCTCTTATGTACTCTGGCTGTAAAGATGTATTAACATCTGCTGGGGAACGTGTGATGCTGCTTTGTCATGGTGCGTTATTGGTGGGTGAGTTACAAGAAAGTGTTTCCTTCTTAAAAATTGCCTCGAACCACCATCTGCTCAGTCCTGGCGGGTTTGTGGGTGTATTGTGTGGGACCACAGAACTTTCTGCAATGCCACGTTCATTTGTGGATTGTACTGTAGCGGTGGCAGGCATTTCCGAGAAGGATTTCTTGGCCCTTTGTAATTCATGGAGCCGCCTTTGCTCTTCAGATGTTTTTAAAAAGGAAATACTAAACCTGCAGAGCAAATAAAAGGAGTACTGTGGAATGTGCCAGGAGAGAAAGAAAAGCTCAAGTGCTAAAGAAACCGAATGAAGTTATTCCTGAGAACTCTTCATTTTAAATTTCCAGCAGTGTATCCATCCTGCTACTCCAGCTCAGAACTGGATGGGATCTATCATCTTAACAAAAGGTGTGTTGTCCAGGTCTGTGCATTGCGTATGAGGTGTTGAAAATAGTGAATATAACAGTTCAGTAATTTAAATGTTTTATTTATTTTAATTCAATAACTTGACATTTTCAAGTCTATTCTGTTTTGCTTGGTTTGGTTTTTTACTCGGTCTCATACCTCTCTAGGAAGGAAGAGTGTTTTGTACTAAATTGTAAACTAATGTGCTTGTTTAAAATAAATGGCAAACATTTGAACAAAGTGGTGCCTTTGGGCTTTTTATCTGTATTTTCAAGTTCTTTTCAGTTAAACTGTATTGCAAGGATGGCTTGTATACATGTCTGTTTCAAACCATATTGGTCATTTTAGGTAGGTACTTAATTTTGAAAAGTACCAGGAACAGGTAAACTTTTATTTCATTTCTTTCACTTCATGAAATTTCACTGAATTTTTGCAGGAGTGATGGAAAATTATTTGCACGTTATATACACACACACACACACACACAAATCTTCCTTTCCCTGAAACCTGAACATCTCCTCCTTGGCTGGGATGGTGCTAACCTCCACAGGGTGCTTCTGAATCCTTCTGCAGCTTCTGCTGGCGTCCGCAGTGCTGCCGAGGAGCTGGGATGGGTGACTCGTGAAGAATATTGGTCATCTACCTGCAGAAGTACTCCAACATATTTTTAGAAATCAGTAAGATTTCTAAACCTGTAGATAAGGTTCTTTGAAGTTTGGTGCTGCAACCCACTTCCCCACGGGGAATAGTGTTTCCTTGCTGGCCTGTGGCCTTGCCTGGAAAACAGAGAGTTCCTCTGGGGAACCTGACGAATGGGCTCACGGCCTCAGTGCTGAGGGCAAATACAGACATTGTCCGTGCCGGCGCAGGGTTGGGGGTGCCCTGTCCTTACCACCCAAAGTTAATGCATCTGCTGCCCCGGTTTAAAGAGGGTTGTCCTGGGAACTTGCTGATAAACTGTTCAGCAAGGTGGTGGGGATGAGGGATGATACGCAACCTGGCACAGGTGCCTCTGAAGGTGCGGCTGCTGGCTCTGTCCACAGAAGAGCTGACAGAAGGGAACGGGGAGGGGAATATGTTTAAGCCC